AACATTATAAAAGTGCAGCTGGAGCAGATTAAAACTGTGGAGACTTCTGTGCTTATCACTTGAAGGTAGAAGGGAAATGTATGTTTTATAACCCAACTCTTTGTTTCATCTTCCAAAAGTATGTGTATTTGTAATATTGGGTACAGTTCTGTTTACGATTTTGGTGTACATTCACTAAACACTCAGCAAACATTGACAAACAAAGACAAAATCCTGCATGCATAGTGATTAACATCTTATTAGGCTAAGCAGGCACTCAACTAAGTCATATTGATCAACCAGAGACCCGGATTATGTATGTGTAAAATGTATGCACTTTCAGGGCTGCATGGTGGTACAGTGGGCATTGCTATTGCCTTGAAAAAAGGTCCTGGCAAGGGGTATTTCTGTATGGAGTTAGCATGTTGCATGCCAGCGTTCTCTCCGGGTACTCTGGCTTCCTCCCACAGTCCAAAAGCATGACTGTTAGGTTATTTGGCTGCTCTAAATTATCCTTAGGAATGATTGTGTGTGTGAATCGTTGTGTGTCTTTGTGTGTCTCTGTGTTGCCCTGCGACAGACTGGTGACCTGTCAAGGATGTACCCCACCCCAAATGTATCCATTTGTCCCTTTTTCTTCCTCATTACAGTTGCAAGGGATGGTGGATGATATATCTGAAGAAAAAAAAAAGATTGTATGTTAATGCCTAAAAGGAATTTTATACTGCTGAGCACCTAAATGGTCTTTAGTTATACTAGATACATCTCAAACCATTTCTCTTTGAGAATCTGCACATGAACATGGTACAAAAAAGTTTTTTTTTATTGAAAGGGACAAAAGTTTGGTGGAGATGTGCCACTTCCACTGACACCATTGGGGTTTGAGTTTTGATATGCAAAGCACAATATATTAAAGAAAAAATATTTTAATAAAGTCAAATAGGCAATACCTATATGACTTCCCTATGCTCCTATGCATTTCAAAATTTAATTCTAGGGAAAATTAGAAATACCTACCAATTTCAACCTTTGAAGACAAAGTTAAGGTGTATTTAGTATTTCATACATAGCTTGTGGTTTTTGGTTTCTTCTTTTCTTGAACAATATATAAAATAGAGTCTGCTGACTGTTATATACACCCTTGCTAAATTTTATTATGTTTTTGCCTGATAAAGACCGCATTACTTTTCATGAAAGATAAAATGGTAGATTTAAAAGAAGGGTTTACTTTTCTATCCCAACATCATAAATACATGGGGCCCTCGATATTAATTTTGGATCGAAAGTAAAATACAAGAGAAAAGTCTGAATAAAAATACAGATGTTTTATTCATAGATAGAGAGATCTGAAGCAGATGTGTAGCAACTCTGTCTCACATTATCCTGTTTCCTGACAGGGGCCAAATATGGAAAAGCTTCAAAAATGTGAAAAATGTGAAGCTATCACCTTAACTAAAGCACTCCCAAACTTGTTTTATCAGGAAAATACTTACAGAAAACAAAAAAACCTTAAAATAACACAAAAAAAATGGCATTCACTCTCTCCAGAAAACCTCTTGGGAGCTTAGAATTGTCTCCTTTAGATGACCAATGGCCAGATACAGGATTGTTTGTCACTTACCTTTTCCTCCTCATGTGCAAGTCTCCATTGTTATGTACAATGCAGCACGTGTTGTTATTTCCCTCTCTTTTAAAGACCTTGCAAGGTTTTACAATCTTCTTCACAAAGAGAGCCATGACCTCAGACCTCAGCACTTTTCTTGCAGAACAGTGAGTAAAAAAATGCACTGAAGCAGAAATTTGGAAGGAGGAACTTCCTTTCAAAAACAGTAAGTAGAGACTGAGAGCATTTCTACTGATGCTATCAATTATCTTACCTTTTTTAAACAGAAAGAAAACCAAACAGAGTATCAATATCTAAAGAAAGTATTCTCTCATTCTGATAAAAATATTAAATGTTTTGTCATTTTTTGCCTTTCAGCTTATTAAATCGGTTTAAAACCAAAGTGCATGGCTGACTTTGAAATGCGATTTCACTGACACTATAGGATGGCATTTCAAAGCATTATCTCAGGAAATATTGACAAAGTTTAAACAGCAACAATTTTTAACTTGTCACAACTGATCAGGAATTTGAACTTAGGTTTGACTGGAAGAAAAAAGAAAAAAAAAACACTGTTAACAGTCAAGATTCCTTTCTTACCACAGAGCAGACTATTCTTTTTAATGTGTTCAATGGCATCTGAATTTGGAAGAACCACAGTGCTGATATATCAGAACCTTAGTGTATATGAAATCTGGGTTGGCCTACTTCTTACAGCACTGACCTGTTTAAACCCTTCATGAAGGACAGAAAGGTTTTTGTGTAAGTATACAACTTTACATCACAGGCTGCAAATCATATATGGGGTTCTACAAAGTTCCATATTGGGGTCCCTCCTATTCAATATCTACATGATTCCCCCAAGCTCATATTATAGTAAACAGCAACATGTTACCATAATTATGCAGATGACACACAACTCTACAATACAATGTCCCCAATGTCTAAAAGCATAGAAGAAATCATTGTATGGATGTGCCCAAATTTTCTTTAGCTGAAAGAAGGTCTATGTACTTTTTTGATCTTCAACATTAATAGGAAAACACTGAAATGTTTATTCTGGAGTTGGATTGATCTCTGCAGCGATGGCTTCATGGGTCTGCCTAAAATGACAATCAGACGGATGCTGTTGATGAAGAATGCTGGAGCCTCCATCCTCACTACAACTAAAAACATAGAGAACATAACCTCAGTTTTACATTTAGCACCAAAATATATTACCGTGCACATATATTGTCAGTGTCTCTAAACTGGAACAAACTCACAATAAAACTGTGAACATGCTGTAGCCCAAAGCTTCTTTACACCAAGTTTAAAACCTGATTGTGTACAGATGCCTCTGATTTTTCTATTTAAACTGTTGAATAAAAGATTATTAGTTTAAGTTTGAAGTCAAAATTTTCTTACTATCCTCTAGTATGCCCTTTGCAATGGCAGTTTCTCTGTGGTTACTTTAGTATTTTTTTTCTTTTGTTCTGGTACAACAATATCATTTTTTTCGTTAGAGAAATGAGCTATACAAATTAGCTTTCCTTGCTTTACACCCCGGACAGGTCACCATTCTATCACAGGACATTCATCCTCATACCTAAGGGCGGTTTGGAAATACCAGTCAACCTTATGGTCATGTTGTTATACCGTGGGAGGAGGGCTTGGTCACTGGAGAGAACCCACACATGCATTAAGAGAAGATGCAGAAAAACCCTAGGCTTAAGTTTGAACTCAGCACCTTGCTGCAAGGCAATAGTGCTACAATCTGGACCACCGTGCAGCCCACTCTATCGTATTAGAATAAATATATAAATACATTTTTGTTTTCAGTGCAAGAAACTTAATTAGTAGTAACTACTAAATACTTTTATCCCTCATACAAATACAATTAAATAAACCAACCAAGCAAAGAAACAAAAATAAAAAAACAAAAGCAAATGCCGTCCATAAATTGCATAGCTGTTACCCTAAACTTAAGTGCAGTAACTGTAATATGGTAGAATAGCAGAACAACACAATATACTGTATAAACTGTTTAAGAAAAAAAAAATCTGTTTAATTCTTAACTGCAATATTTTTGTATACTTTTTGCCTGCTGTAGTCTTTATTATAGGGAAGCACATTATCTACAACTACATTGAAACACTCAATTTAATCTTAAAAGACCATACCACCTAAAACTGTAGGGCTAATATCAAATTACCTCTGTCTTCTACCAAATTAATACGTCTAGTATTATTCTTTATTTTTTATTTTTTTTTTACATTTTTTATTGTACCACGTCTTAACTGTAAAGAGTGTATTCACAATAGATTTTATAAGAATTTAGTCATTTCCAGAACACTTCTGTTTTATTGGCATTTGCAATTAAAACTGATTGTAGTTTACTTATTACTTCACAAAAGTCATTAATACAAAAAGAATATGTAAAGGCTACTGAACTTTGCCCTATCCACATGTAATTTACTCTATTTTAACCATAATAGTTTGTCGTTAAAGTATATAGAAGGTCTTGACCCTATTTAATGGTTAATGTCAAAGTTTTTGGCTTTATTTTGTACTCAAAAACTGCAAGTCAAATGCTTTGTCATCAAAGAAGCAACATTTTCCCTCTGCAGTCGGTCTGTACCAGTCATTTTTGTACAGCTTCTGCAATAGAAGTAATCTGAATAAAATCTATAAAGCAGCAACACATATTGAGGTAATAAAGAGCTCCCAGCTTTTCTGGTTTGTTAAACTTCCACAGATTTCAGATGACGTTAAGGTATAATCTTTTTTATCCCTACCCATCTTTGTCCCTGATATTTCCCTCAAGACATCCAACTAAAGCATGTCTTGGAACATAAACAATGAAGGGAATAAGATGGATTAGTATGAGAGTTAAACTTAAAGATACAGGAAGTTCAGGATGTGGCACTATTGTTCCATGGTCATCTCTTTTCCTTTCAGGGCGTCAGAGGCCTTTTCTCCCTGTTCAATGTGGGGATCTGACATTAAACAAAACATCTTGTCGCCTCAAGTATCCAGTCACATTTCCTATCTCAGCCAAACAACAGTGGAGAAAAGGTTTATATTTCTGATCAACAATGTAAGGTCTGTCATCTGAAGGGGAGAACTTCTACCAGACACACCCAAAATAGGAGATAAATGATAAATAAAGCAAATACAAACATGATTCTTTAGATTCTTACAGAAAACATCTGCAAGAAAAAAAAAGACTAGTTACTAATAACCTAATTGTAAAAACAGGCCGTTATAATATTAAGAATCATATACTGCTTTCACTACATGTTGACTTCTTCCTGGTTTGGCACTCCTGCCTCTAACCAGGTCTAATCTGCTATTGGACAGAGAAGGGCAGGAGGAGGCGGGAGTGGAAACACACCTTAGTTACCAAAGTTACTCATTAACATGTTGTTCTGGGAATGAGCTGCACAGCACACCTCCAACAACCTTTGCACAGCACTTCTCCATGTCACAGGCAAATGCAGAAGAAAATGTTAAGGCTGACTTAAAAAGTGTGGGAAGACGGTGAGCCGGTGTAATCTGATGCCGCCTGGATTCTGATAAACAGGCGACCAGGTGAGACTTTATATAAAGAGCTGGGCTTTTAGAAGAGACATTTTTAGTTGTATTTAAGGTCAATAAATGTTGGTCTACTGAATGCAAATATAACCAAATTATGCACAAAGTTGCTGAAAAACCATGTAGCAAGCCTTATATTTGGCTAGAATTACACAGTTTAGAAATGTTCAAAGGAAATTAAGCTAAGAGGTATATATTTTGATTTTATCCTCTTTAAAGGGCCTGACAGAATAAAAAGCAGGCCTGGTTTTTATGTTAAAAACATCTATACTAACGTCTTGTTAGTAAAGATGTTTAGTCTAGTTATGCTATCAATGTGTGTTTTTTTTCTCTCTAATCAAACATATTATTGATTCATAGCTAAAGTTGTTGCACCCTGACCATGTAGTTGGTTTGCTGTAACAAACGTCAGCTTGCTTTGGTGTATTTCAAAAGTCACTATGGGAATATGTCAGAGAGGTATCAGTAAAAGCTGGAGAACTACAACAGGACAGTTTTAGATCTGCATTTAGGAAGATTGATCAGTTACAGACAGTCTAATCTAATTTTTTTTGTCAATTTTGTCTTTCAATGTCAAGAATTTGCTTGGCTGGTGTCAACAGTTTGGGCAGTTTAGTGAAACCTGTAACTCTCTTTCATCTAACCAACACAAAAATAAATACAGTATATTGACATGCACTAGTTAGTATGCTTGAGGTCAGAATCAATCTTCCCTTGACCTTATCATTATAACAGTGCCAAATATTAGAACTTTTTTTAGATTTATCATATGCATTCAATAATCAAACCTAAGAATTAATCTCTTTTATCAAAATAAATGACATCAAACATTTTTTTTTCTTAGTTTAAAAATGGTCAGGGACTTATGTTCTGATGCATCTAGATAATCATGCTTTTCTTAGGTTGTTATCAAACCTCTGTTAAGGAACCTGCAGCAATTTATTCTCTCTCTACTTTTTCTCAGTGTTGCCAAAACTGGAATTGTCAAGTCAGACTGCAAAGAAAACAGGGAATCTGTGTTGTTTAGGAAAAGCCTGTTTGATGCATCACCACATATGATTATTGTTTATTTTCTTTGTTTAGATATGCTTTTATAAAATGCTCTTATCTTATTTACGTACTTATACTTACCAGCATGTGGAAAATAATTATTGATAATGTAATTCTGCACCAGCATCAGCTGACCGTCGTTAGATCAATTCCTTCCATTTTACTGAATGTACAAACAAGTGAAAAAGAATAAATTTACAGAATTTTGTGGCATCCATACCATAAAGGTTTGCAAAGTTTCAATTTGGAATTGTGCTGCAGGTTGAGAAGTATGTAATTTATTTGTATTTATATTATTTGTGTTTACATGAGTCCATATATGGAATCTAAAATGACTCGAGTGTTAAAAAGTAAAAATCAAAACAAATTTTTTAAGAACCTTAATGCTGGACTGAGTTAGATAATCACACATATCAATAAAGTCTCTGTTAACGTTTGCTTAGGGCTCTGCTGCAAGATCCACCTGTTCTTTGCTGCTTTGGGTGCTGTTTCCTGCAGGCCTTTTACCATTTGTTTTAACAACTCTGCACCTCCAGGTGAGAAACTGGCTCTGATACTCTGACCTAAAATTAACACAATCATTACACATATGCAACATGTGCCAACCACAACCAACCCCCCACACACACAGAAACAGACACCCACACATGAATGATTATGAGAAGAAAGAATTCTCAGCACTTAATAGATTCTATGACCAAATATTATCTTTAACTGTAAGTTAAAGATAATAGTTGACTCTTTTTTAACATTCAAGAGCAAGCCTTAGTGCACAACAAGGTGGAGGACTGGGACGAAAAAGAATGTTTATTTTTACTGTAGGGTTTTCGTCAACTGTAGGACTTACTCTGAAACGTAAAAACATTTATAGTTACTATTGACAAAAACTGGATACATGGTTGCCAAGGGTTTGCATTTACTACACAAAACAAACATTTTCTTAAAGTCTCAGGAAACTTGTGCAACACAGGCAATTTAACTACTTAATAAGTGATAATATTCAATATTTGTTTAATAGTTTGTTACACTTCATGTGCATAATATAAAGGCTTTATTTAACTCAGCGAAATAAACCATATATTACACTTCTTACCCTTTTTCTATGTTACTCTCTACAAACAGACATCTAGACCATGATTTATGGCAATATCACACAGAGCAACCTAAACTGTTTCCTTCTTTAACACATTTTTCTATGGATGATTGTAGAAAAATATACATATCCAGATCTTTACTCATACATTCATGAAAAAACAGAACCAACCCTTTTATCTTTTGTTTTTTGTTCATTGTATTCTACAGTTAATATAGTTTTAGACCACTACATTTAAGATAACAAGGGTGGGCTTGTAAGCCCTTCAACTTTGCATTGATTCTCATGCAGTCACATACTGAAGAACACCCGAGGTGCACAGCAAAACCGCCCACACATGAAATGCATACTTCTGTCTCCTGCAGGTCTACGTCCTGCTCTGCCTGATGTGCATATTTTTTTTCTGCTTTGCTTATGTGAAGACAGAACAGGAAGAGATAAAGGCAGCCCTGTTGGCTTGTTTACAGCAAACAGTGCTGAAGAGAATGGCAGGACAAGATGAAGGGGAAAAGACCTAATGGCTGGAGTTGAGCTGCCAGTCCCCCCTCGCTAAGAAAAATCACCCCAGGGTCAACAAAATTAGCAAGACATACTGAAACCTTAAAATATCCATAAGAAAGTAACAGGCACATTAGTCATTAGTCAAGTCATAAACTTAAGATGGAGGAACCAGGAAAGGAACAAAATAAGAACATGATACATTTCTCCAAAAAAAGAAAAAAAAACTACACTATGCTATTGTAAAAATACCCTTAAAGAACATAGTAAAAAGAAGGAAACATAACAAATTACCATAGCATGAAGAGACAGCAGTATGCAGAATGTTTAAGAGTATAGATCAGCAATTGGGCAGCAGACGAGTAAAATTGAACAATTGCATCGTTTTTAGACTTCTGAGCCACAGTTTGAGATGAAGCATGTCATCAGCTGTTCAGAACATTCAGGCTATTCTGGGAACTTCTTCGTTTTCAAAGATTTGCTCTTTCAGGGAACTGTTCAGCATAAAGATAACCCTAAAATTAAAAACGTATGGAAAGAACATAAACATAAAAAAACTATATACCCCACCTTTCATCAAACACGAAACCACGCCCACATTCCAAAGTGACAGCCGGAAGTCCCGCCTTAATTAAACCGGAAGTCCCGCCTTAATTAATATAAAATTAATATAAAATTGATATAAAATTAATATAAAATTGATATAAAATTAATATAAAATTGATATAAAATTAATATAAAATTGAATTAAAAAAAGAATAAAAAAATTAATAATTAAAAAAATTATTAAAAAATTTATAAAAATGCATATAAAAAATTAACTATGTTATTTTAATAACGGTTATGATGATTAAATGATTATTTTTAATTACTTGTATTGATTTCTTATATAATCACTGTTAGCACACCGTTTCAATCTCTGCCTGAGCAGCTGTGTGATGAGTGCAGTCATTCACACAGCATCCCATCCACCCCCCCCCCCCTAGGTGCAGCTGCTGTAGCCCCCTCAGTCTGCCTTACTATGAGATCCGTTGCCTCATAGGATTCTGCAAGAGATATATATCTATATATATATAGATATATCTATATATCGATATACACGATAAATAATGATGTACATGTATATGTATCGGTCTATTAAAAAAATAAATAAAAATAAAAATAAAACAAATGTCTAATTTTGTCCATTCATACGGTTTAAGCGTCCCACATGCGCAGTAGAGACTTTAATAACGTCACAAGCGGTCTTGCTCCTTGTTTACTTCCGTGAAAATGGAGGGAAGGTTTAGATCGCATCTAGCTGTCTTTCCCAAGCTTAAATACACAATCTTTTTTAAGATGGTTAGGAAAAAAATTAAATAAATAAAAATAAAAAATAAAACAAATGTCTAATTTTGTCCATTCATACGGTTTAAGCGTCCCACATGCGCAGTAGAGACTTTAATAACGTCACAAGCGGTCTTGCTCCTTGTTTACTTCCGTGAAAATGGAGGGAAGGTTTAGATCGCATCTAGCTGTCTTTCCCAAACTTAAATACACAATCTTTTTTAAGATGGTTAGAAAAAAAAAAAAATAAATAAATAAAATGCTCTCCCACCTTATCATCCACCATGGTTGTTGTGTTTCTAGCCGCTTCTGTGCTCGCTCAGACACAGGTTGCAGTGGAAAAGATCTGGATCACTTTAGGCTGCTGTGTGAACCCAACCGTTCTCCAGCAAGGTTGGGTGACTTACTGAGGGTTGACCAGAGCATTCTATACAAAGTGAGGGATGACCGGAGCATTCTATACAAAGACGATACTGTCCGTCTTAAGGGTCTCATGATGTGAAAGGTCACACTATGAGGAGCTCACACCACGCCACACGGTTAGGGTCACCTGATGTGAACGGTTAATTAAGCCATCAGGTGTTTGGACCTTGGGAGGGGGTGAAAAATACACCACTTAGAAAAAAGAGGAGAGACTCTTTGTGAATCTCCTGACCGTGGTCTGAATCAGAGTTCTTTTCCCACGGAAGAGGATTTGGGAACAACGTGGCGTAGCATTATATAAATTCAAAAGTCGCGGTATCTGTCTTTGGTAACTCCTGATTCGATCAGCTGATAAGGTGGAGCCACAGCGTCACAATCTGAGCCACAAAGCGTCTGAAACACAATATGTTTAAAGTTAGTTTTTGTTCACTCATTTCACTGCCTGGGTTTTTTAAATAGACAGAATCCTTTTTTTTTTCTTTTCACTATTCAGTCATTGATGGAAATATATATCGTACAAACCTGATAGATGACAGTCTATGGATTGCAAATGTTTTGTAGCGTTCTGCTGCCTGAGGAAAGATTTTCTGCTTTTCTCTGCTGTCCACAGAGAGCAACTTTGACAGAGCTGTTTTTCAGCTCTAGTAAAATTGTATCAATAACTGGATAGTGATATTCGTATCTAAAGGCTTATCTATCCATATGTTTGATTATATTCTTAATTTGAAACCAACCGATTGGGAAAACTATAGCTTGTTAAAACAAACTGTCCTCTTTTTTTATAATTTTTTGTATTAATCTCTTAATTTTTTCAAACATTTATTTCTCTACTGAATAATTAATCTTTTTTTTATCTATCCCTAGATTTTTGATTTTTTTTTTGTAATTCTAATAATAGGTTTGATATAGTGGCAAACTGATAAATTGTTTAACCCTTTCCTGAACAGAAATCAGAGAAACGCTGTAGGTAATAGCACCTGAACCTTGTTCACGTAGATTTAACAGATATATCAGCTATATGGTAATTTCACTTTTATTACTGAAAGGTTTTCAAATAGCATAGATTAAGAAAAAGTAATTGCATACAGTATTCAGCCTATAATTTTTAGTCTGCCAAGACCAAGCAGTTTTTAACACATCTCAACCTCCAAATGTAGCTACTGTCTTCTTAGTAATTATGTGAAAAGAGCCTAAAAAGAAAATCAGAAAGTTTCTATTCCTGTTTATCTTTTTTTTTTTTTTTTTTTAAGAAGCACCCTTGTCAGATGGCCAATTCTGTAAAACGGGAGGACATTTTAAGTGCAAATTTGATGGAGCCATCTAGCAATTAGAACTTTTGCTCTATCTAGCGTCATTGTTCTGAAGCAGGGGTTTGAGCTTCATGATACGTTTGTAAGTAAACCCTTTAAGTTTTTGCAAATACTCCTTGTGCAATTAGTTGTTGGCCTCAGCCTTCTGGGACTTGTAGCAGTCATCTTTTTAGCAGACCGTCTGAGGAGCAGAACTTAATCTATTGAATATTTTCAACCCAGTTATCTGTTTTCTATACCCTACCAGCTTCTCCGTCATTTTTGTTGTAGAGTGAGTTCCTGTCTCTATGTGTCATTACAAGAAATGCAGGCAGCAGAAAGTGCTAGTTGCTACTTCATTGCATTTTTTTAAGCAAATCTGCAGTTTACAACCCTCATTTTGCAGTAAGGTAATCTGTCTAAAACCTTTGCTTTATTTTGGAAAAAATATATTTATATTTCAGTCTTTACTAAAATCCCATTTAAGTAGAAATTTTAGGTTATTCACAGTATAAAAGTCAATAATATTGCCTCCTTATCCTCAAATATCCTTGTCCTATGTCTCCACCATACTCCTGTAACCAAACACAAGAACAATCAAATAAACGTTCTGGTATTAGTATCACACTTGGAGGAAAGTTTTTGCCTTGAAAAAAAGTGAATTATAAACAAGCAAAAACTCACATTACACACCGTTTCTCCTAGAAGTTGTTTACAAATGCTCATGTAGGCAAAACCACATTATACGCTCATAACTGTAGCCGTATGACATGATGAATCAAGCATTTTGCAAGATCTTTCTATATACGAAATGACGGACTGTATTTAGCATTTTAGATAATCAGTATCTCTGTTTTCATCATTTGACCATGAAAAAAATTATTATCTTTTTTTTTTTTTTATCTTT